TCAATACAAATGTATTTATTATAAACGTTAGTCCTTGTGACGAAGGTAACTTCGTCACTGTGGACGGATGGCTTCGGGCCTTGCATGTGTGCACATTTGTATACAATTTATACTATTGATTGATGTAGTGTGTTTATTGTATTTTATTTTGAAATGTGTTCCCTTTTCCCCATGTCTGTTGCCGTTGATTGTGTGCACCTGGTGCCCTGTGTTGTGTCCTCCCCCTTCACCTGTGTCCTGTTGGGTTGGGCATTTAGGCTCTGGGGTTTTGCTGTTTGGGAGTGTTTTTGAGATCTTTGTGGCTGCAGGATGGGTGCAAGGAGAACAGCAGGATTGAGGCTGTGAACTTTGTGCCCCGGATTTTAATAAATGCCCACGTCGGGTTATATTTTTGGACGTTCTGCCTCTGCCTCCTTGCTTGGTCTGGGCCGCTCAACGGTCAGCTTCACAGTCCTTAACACCTATCACTGTGTATATCACCATTCAAACATCTTTTAAAAGTTGAACAAACCCCACACAGCTCAGTAAAGACTGTGAAATGTTGACTTTATTTGATCATTTCAGTAAAAACTAAGGTTCATATTTCTCTTTTTGATTATAATACTGATGAACGTTCAAAACAAAGAACTTTGGCAACTTACCACATACGTTTTAAAATGCTTAATAAGCACCGTAACTTTCATGATATAATTTCTCCGTCATAATTGTTTGTTTCCGTGAACGGCCGACTGTTGTGTGACGCAAATGCTGCGGCTGCAATGCATTGTGGGGCAGCATTTTCTCCTCTCCTTTCGGTTAGGGAGGTCCAGTGGTTCCTAAGCTAAAGGAGGTTATAAAGGAAGTTTGAAACCTCCTTTCCTATCATCTCTAGAGAATTGGAACGGCACTTATCATGACTGCCACTGAGGGACTTCCGGGTCATTTCACTCCGTTAGGAAGGTTCCTAAGCTAAATGGACTATTCTACTTCAGCCCGTGTGTTTGTTTTACAACAAATGACGAAGCAAATTAAGTTGTTTGACTGTGGGATAGGGGTGTAACGGTTCACAGAAGTCACGGTTCGGTTCGTACCTCGGTTTAGGGGTCACGGTTCGGTACGGGTTCGGTACAACAAGAAAAAGCAAAAAAAAGTCCCAAATGCATAATTCCAGGTTTGTTTTTTATTTATTTTGAACAGTAGTGCAAGTTTCAGTTTAAAAATAAGGAACTCTAACATTTTGAATAATTAACTGTATTAAACAGTTAAAAACAAACCACAAACAGTACCACACACACTCAGATGGCCAGATTATCTATAATGGCTGATGTCAAACAAAAAGGTTTCATCAAGCTGTAAAACTAAAAAGAATGTCTTGAAAATATTACAAAATAAATAATAAGACATTGTTTCAAAAGCGCATAGCCGTTGAAAAACATGCCAAAAGCTTCCGTTATTTATTTTGGTCTCTCGGCTCTCATGTCTATTGGCTTCTTAAAAACAGCGGGGATCAGCTGTTGAACTGCTGTTGTCTTTTGCTCCGGTGATTGGCAAATCTGGGTGATCTGATTTATATGATTTAGCATGTTTGGCGTGTGTTACCATTAGCATACCGCACCACTGTCGAACAACGCCGACACACCGTCCTCGTCCGATCCACCACTCGCACTCCATCGTTATTGTAGTCCACAGGGAACCCGAAATGTTCCCACACAGCTGATTTAAAAGAAGCAGGTGGGTTCTAGCTCCTGTGTGTTATCTGAAATCGCCATACTAACTTTTCTTCTTCTGGTATTTTGTTCGTTTTGTTGTTTCTTCTTGTTCTTCATTTGTTGTTTAAGGGCGGCTGGCAAACAGCTTTTATGCGCAATGCCGCCCCCTGGATTATATATAGTGTAGTGGAGACTGCCCTGAATGACAGACTTTTTTCCCACTCTTAAAAAAAAGGCGTATTCGTCGTGTGACTGCATGTGCCGAACCGTGACGTCCGAACCGGTACGGGACGAATACGGATACCGTTACTTACACCCCTACTGTGGGGTAAAAAGTTCAGCCAACACCTTAACTTCCCAAACGAATGTTCAAAGTGATTCAACAAAGCACAAGGTGAACACGAACGAAAAGCAAAGAGGAAATGTGTAAAGTCTTGGGAGGCGAAACATTCTGCTCCGTTGTGCATTCATTTCCGGTAAAAGTTCCTTCAAAATAAGAGTCCCGATCTTATTACTACCAAAATAAAAGTGCAAAACGAAACTTTACCATAGGAAAATATTGCCATAGAAATATAATCACTTCTATAAAAAGGTAACACATTTTAAATATAGTTAGACATATTAAAATTAATTTACAGCATTAATAATTAATATCTAATTCTTAACTGTGAATGGTTTTCATTTATTTAACATTAGAAATGTATTAGTCTGGCCAATCCAAGACTTCAATGCTGAAGGGCCAGTTGATCTATGGTGGGGGCAGTGACGTGCGGTGAGGTTCATGGCTGGTGAGGCACTGACTCTTTCAGAGTCAGATTTACGAATATTATATTCTGACCTTAATCGAAATATTCTGTTATTTTCAAAAGCTTTTTTGGTCTGATGTTTCGATTCATTTTAAACAGACCGTTCAACAAAAGGATACCCAAAATCTAAATATTGGATTGTTCTTTCTTAGTAAGAACCAATTTTCATTACCAATGTGGTCTTACCTTGACTTGAAGATGAAGTCCATGCTATCCTTCTGGACAACAATCTCTATTACTTTTTTGTAAAAGTCCTCCTTATCTTCCTCTAGTTTCAAAAGTCTAGTTTGTTGTTCGCGTCTATACCGTCTCTGCGTAGAATAACAGTAGCAACAAGGACCTGTGGGCTCACGTGCGCCCCCTTCAGTGCGGCAGAGGTTATGCCTGCCTCCCCTGGTGCTTTTTTCATTGCCGTTGTACGGCGAGCCTAAATATCATATATACGTGAAATAAGTTATTTAGAGACTATGGATGGCGAGGATAAATGTAATAAAGGGATCTACAAACATTACATTGGTGACCTACAGTGATATGGTAACAGGCATGCGCTTAGGGCCCGCTTTCCAGCCAGTTTCTGTGAGGTGACGCATTCTGAGGTGAGGCAGAGCTCATCTGTGCCTCACCTCACCACACAGTAACTGGCTTGAGCGCGCTCACAAAATAAGTGCCCGCGCTAAATTAGTGCCCGCGCCCAGCAAGTTACTGTGGGCTTACGTGAGGCAGAGCTCGTCCCTGCCTCACTCCTCATCGCTCCCATGTAGTTGTAGCGGAGCTCGGCAAATTTGCTGATTTTGACTATAAAAAGCGATTGGAATCATACAGAAATCCCATTTACAACACAGATCAGTGGAGACATTTTATTATTATTACTATTTAGTTTTTCTTTAGTTGTTTTTCCGTTACATTGTAGTATGGCCAGTCTATGAGTATGACAGGTGAGGCTCTGCCTCCCCTGCCTCCCTGACTGCACGTCGCTGGGTGGGGGTCAGCACAAAGGTCAATAAACTCACATTTGAAAGGGAGACAACGGATGACCAAGAAACTAGTGACTTGCTCAATTCATTTGTGAGGGATCTGTGAAGAACATGACAACAGCTGCACTACTGGTATTTAGTATACCAGCAATTGAGGGTGGAAACGTTTCCTACCACTTAGGTTTCAAATAATTGTGTTAATTACTTATTGTAAAGCATTTGAACATTCTTTTGTGTCACATGTTCATTGTTAAGTTGATGTATAACTGTATAGTATCTTAATTATTTAAAATATAAGGTGACTACAAATAGCAACCTTATTTTCAGTTTTGGAAACCAAAAGCTGATGCCTGGTTGCCAGCCTGGTTGCCAGCCTGGCAACCGCTTTTAAAAGTTAGCGTTGAGCCCTGGGAAGGAACAATTTTTAAATCGACTTCGGTTCGAAATCGGTTTTGTCTCCGTTTCGTCTCCGTGTGGCCTACAAGCACAAGTAACCAGGTGACTAAATGATGCATAAGTAAATAGAATGCATATTCAAACACACAATTCATTAGACTGAGATTTAATTTGAAGAATTCTCCAATGCAGAAAACACAGGATTTCTCTCTAAATGAAATGTCCATCCGATAGGGAAATAAGTAATCATCATTCATCTAAATGTTTATGCTGGATCATTTCAGTCATAAAACAATTATTTTTCGAACAAATGGTCCTTTTAAAAGATTTTTTAGCATAGATTTAAAGATGAATCTAATTTAATGATCTAATATATAGGGAAATACTGAAAGAACTGTACGTTAATTGCGAAAAACAATTCTGCAAATAGAGTAACCTGAAAGCAATATTTCAGATAATGTATATGTATAATGAGCAGCAAGTTCACCTCTGGTTCTCACTGAAATGAGTTCAGGTTCACCACACAACGAGGCCATCTGTTTGTTAATGAGAGAATCATGCAGCTGCAGGCTGTGATTGGTCCATTTCATTCATGAACTCATAGCCGATGTTTTCCAGACCAATTCTATCAAATGCTGCTTCTCAAACAATGTATACATTTTTAACAAAACTGCACACCTATTCCACATTTAAACTCTAATATATTCGCAATGAGTCTTGAAAATAATGATCACACCACCAACTGCAGATTAAAACTTAAGTAACGAGCCTGTCTTGAAAATGTTAGAAGTAGAAAGTGCAGGTATTTGTATAAAAAATGTAAGGAGTAAAGTACAATGTTGATACCAGAAAAATCTACTTCAGTACAGTAACAAAGTTTTTCTAATTCACTGCTTCCAACCTCTGGTTCTGACCATGCAGTTTTGCCTTGCCTTGTCTGAATCAAGTATTTAAATAAAGGCCGTTTATGTTGGGCATCTGTGTTCTGAATTTGGTTCCATCTTTTTACAACCTAGATCCTCTTTCAGTGTTGAACAATTACACACCAAAGCAAATGTATTGTATGTGTAAACCTGCTTGGTATTAAACCTGATGCTGACAATGTAAGGGGAAAAGGACACAGAGTGAAACCTTACTTGAGAGTGGTCATCTCGGTGAGGGAGGGCTGTGTGGCCTTCAGGTAGCTGGCCCGGCGGGCTTGCACCTTGGGGAGGGGCTTGGTGAGACTCTCCTCAGAGTCTCCGCTGTCTTCTTCTGCCATGGCTTTGACGTAGCTGCCGCTCCTCATCCTCCGACACGGGATGTCGTCCTCCTTCCCCAGCGGAGAGAAGCCGCTCCACTCGTCCTGAGGGACCTGCGGCCCGGGTGCAAAGGTCAGAGAAACACAGTCAGAGTCCACTCCATTGCTGTCGGAGTCCCAGCCACCAAACTGGCTAGCTAAACTGTCCTGATGGTACATGGAAGCTACAAAAACAGAGCTAGCATGCTGTACAACAACACACACGACACACAGCTAGCATCCACAGACTGGACTAAACTGATGGCTGGCATTTCTTTGAATCCACCACTCTTTCACACTCATGCATCCGTGCACAGCGTTCACACCGATGTGGTGCAGGCTGTCGGCTCATTAGCACGAACAGTTTGTGAATGTGCTCGAGTCAGGAGGACATTTCTCTCTGGCTAATTCATACATCTGCTATTCAGGAGCTCAGAACACAGAACTGTGTCAATACAAGAGCACAGGATGTGTGTGAGCATTCATGTGTGTGTGTGTTTATGGTATGTCTGCACTGATCTGACCCCAGGGCCCCTTTGGTAATTGAGAAATAAAGTATTTGGTAACCTACTCACTGGTTTGACTGACAATATTGCACAATGATAAATAAATGAACTGAACAAAATCCTATCTAAAAAATAACATACAGATATGTGGTGCATGAATGAGTCCTAATACACAGAAATGAGTTAGCATTTTAAAACTTCTGGTTCCATAGTCTCGCAGTCAACATCTTATTGAATTTGTTTTGGTAAGATGACTGAAATAAGGTCTGGGGTTATTGACATAGTATATGTCAGTAAATACTCCAGTGGTGGTTTACACCCCAACAAAGATTCTATGTATCATAATAACAGCGGTTGCTACATGAGACGTACATTAGCGGCCTTTAGCTTAGCGGTGGTGATGCGCAGCCATGTGACCGTCATCTTTATAGCCAAACATTAGCTAATTTTTTAAGCTTCAAAATTCAAAAAAGTGGTGTTAATATGTGGATATTATCCTGCTAAATAAAACATTTAAGTATCATGACAAAGACCTTCTGCAAATTGCTTTCTGTGGAGGGACCACCCGTGATGCTAACTTCAGGGACAGCCTCCTACAATAGAACATCACTGCACCACTCTATAACATTCACATTTTAAAGAACAAAACATGGAAGCAAATAGATGTAATAGTTTGTTAAAGGTCCCATGTCATGGCCATTTCTACTGATCATAATTCCATTGTTGAGGTCTACTAGAATAGATTTACATTGTTCAATGTTCCAAACTCACATTGGTTTCTCACACAGCATCTCTGTATAGTCTGTGTATTCACTCTCTGTCCTACAAGGCTTGTTGGAGCTCCTGCCCCCCCCCCCCCCTCCCTATGAGCCCACTGTGCTCTGATTGGTCAGCTCGCCCACTCTGTTCTGATGGGTCCACCACCGTTACAGCGGAACATCAGTGATTATGTGTTACAATGGCGTTAGCAACCAGAACATGACACCAGTAATGACAAACAGATGAGAATGCTGCGTGAGGTCTGGGTGTCGTGTTGGCGGGACATTGCGTGGCTCGCTGCTGTGAGGAGCGGACAGTGTGAGCTGGGTTCATTTCCTGCTTGCTGCGTGGGGTCTGCGAGACATCGCGAATGGACGCGGGAAGGGTGGGGGGTGCTGAGGGGGCTGCAGCGCCCCCATCTGCGAGGCTCCACTAGTACCCGAACCCCCCCCCCTCCCCAGCGCGTCACCGTTTTGCCGCTGAGAGAGTGTGTGTGTGTGTGTGTGTGTGTGTGTGTGTGTGTGTGTGTGTGTGTGTGTGTGTGTGTGTGTGTGTGTGTGTGTGTGTGTGTGTGTGTGTGTGTGTGGAGGTCCCAATGAGGCGTTCTGGGGCAGCATAGACAGGTATTTTCTGTGTTAGAGTTTTATTCGCTTCAGTTCAGGGTGTACTTTGAGGGTTTGTGACTCTGTAGACCGTTTACATGCAGAAAAAGCTTCATACTGTACAGTAACACAAGGGGACGGGTAATAACCAGAAAAGCATGACCTGGGACCTTTAATGTTTTTCAGTGGTAAATAATTCCTTTTCTCACTTCCCTCTATTGGTATCAGATCAGATCGTTTTGGTTTTATCTCAGATGTGTGCCTCTACCCAAATTCAATGGAGGTGAATTACATATAGTTTGTGCTACTGAATGCATCAAGTTGCACCTACTAAAATTCAACAAAACCCCTTCATCACTTCAGTCACAACACTGTCTAACAATCTGAGGTAATAAAGTGTTTACAGACATTTAAGAACATTTAAATCTTGTTTTCAAAAATCAAATACTTCTAAAACTACTATGGAAACATGCTCTTGGGCTTTATTGAGAAATATATTATACAAATAGACTGTGCATATGTTATCTATTCATAAACATTTCCTTTTCTATATTTATATTGCCAATCAATCAAAAAACAACACTACAGTGTTGTCACTAATTACATAGTCATTACAGCTTGTATTTCTCTATAAAAAGAGATGGGAGGCGGCTAGTGGAGTACTTCGTGACCACAGAGTGTGAACGTTGTGATGAGCTGTTTTAGCGCAGTTCTCCAGTGAAGGGGGGGAGTCTCCCTCCGCAGCCGGTTGGCGTAGTTTTGGCACAATTCCGTTGTACAGACCGACGTTAACAGCAGCCCTGTCTGTGCACACGGAGACCGACTCTGTCGTCCGGTGATCTAACCGCCTTCTGGAAAAGCTTCACAAGTACGTCGGTACGCAAATGCGCTTTGTGACACAAGTGACGGTAGCCTACGCATTTCAGATTACGCACATAACCTGCGTACCAGTTATGTGCACCCCTGTACTACAGCAAAAGTATTCTCCGTCGGGACTTCCTGCAACAACACCACGCCGTTATCAAAGATGTTCTATTGAGAAGACGATCACTACGTGACAAAAGTTTTCAAAACCGTGGCTACTGAAATCAATCTTACTAACTGCTGTCTGTGCAATTTACTCCGCGCGAGTTGGCAGACTTTATTTTGCTTACTTTAACATCATTTTTCATGGTGGGGCTAAGCCATTTCTTGGTATGGGTGTAGCCTACCCCAGCCATACCCTGGCGCTGCCACTGGTGGCACGTATGGGGCGGGCCATTCTGCACATGCGTTAAATGCGTTAAATATTTTAACGCAATTCATTCAAAAAATTAATTACCGCCGTTAACGCGATCATTTTGACAGCACTAATTATTATAATAACTTTTTTCAGAGTTGACAGACATAAATGAAATGTCCTTTAGAAATCTGAGAAAAAATACTTTACAAATGTATCAGTCCCTACAATACATACAATATGTTATGAGGCAATAAACTAGATTATAATCCCTTGAATATTCTAGTAATATTATAAAGGGAATACATTAAGTCCAAAGTGATCTTGAACGCTGGATCAGCAATCATTAAGAATTACTTTATTAGATTGTCTTCATTTTCTGCTTTCCTATTATGGAGGATAATATTGGCTAATAAATCTACATCTTCAGCTTCACACAGGTCTGACCTACCATGGTCCTCCCTGACAGTGAACGTGTTGACTCCTAGAAGGGAGCACAGGTGGAGCAAATAACAGTAATGAAAGCCCCTCCATTCAGCCGGGTTACTGACCTGACGGAGGGCAGCAGGATCCTGAAAGAGGCTGACCTGTCAACCCTGTCTCCTAAAAATGACGTTCCCACAGAACTAAACTGCATTCTCAATTACGTTTAGCTAGAAATGTATTTTCTCCCACGTTACGTTTGTTTTGGGCGTATCTCAAATACGTTTACTTTCTACATATCTTTGCCATTTATTGTCTTGCTTATAATAATGATAATAGTAATTTATTCATATAATTTTAGAGCAAACGTATTTTCGGGGTGGCGGCTCACTGTTGTTCAGTTTACCAAATCCGTTATTATGGTGGCTAATGGGTAAATAATCACAATATTGTTTGTAGTCGTTTCATACTGCATTCTCAATTGCGTTTAGCTAGAAACTTATTTTCTCCACAACAAGTCCTCCAACTCATACGACCAAATAAGTCGATTGTTCAAGCAGTTTATTACGGCCTATAATCACGTTTTAAAGTTTTGGACCTCTAGTGCTCCCGTTGACTGCAAACCCTCCGGTGGGTCGTATATTCACAAATAACCCCCTCTGGAAAATCCAAAATTGTAGGATAGTTTGGCCATTAAAATGCTTTTTGATTAGATCTCTAGCGAGAAGTGTATATTGTACTTTTAGAATCCACGTCCAGTGGATGTGTAGGATCTATAGTTTGATAGATATTACGAAGATGACTTGAGGTCTCGCCAGGAGAACGTCAATATACTACGTCTTTCCCCCTATTCATTTCTATTGATGGCAGCGCCCATGTAAAGTTAGCGTCAACCCTCACGGGGTGAAAACAGTATTTCCGGTCTCGAAGTTTTCATAGTAAAACCGGAAGTATTCCCATCACTGTCAAATTATTTGACAGTGATATCTGCATTACTCATCAACTAAAAAACATCAGTTTATCCTTGTTAATTACACAACATTGATTGGTTTAAATTGTGTACAATGCTTTTGTGTGTTGTGCACACCAGTCCCTTTGCTTGACAAACCCTGTGATTAGTCCTCAAGCTCTGTGATTGGATGTTGGAGTGGCAGTGCGCCAAGGTTACGCCGAGCGTCAAACAGCACTTTGAAATGGAACGAAGCCGCCATGGCAGACTATCCAAAACAGGATTCGAACTAGAGCATCCCACCCCCCAGAACTACACATGCGGGCCAGAGCCCTGATGCTCGGTATTTGTGTGTTTCATGTTCTATGGCACGTCTCTACTGGGAATTGTAGTTCTCAAAGACGTTTTCGTATTTCCCACAATTAGAAGTTGCCAGTATTAAACTGTGTACACCCCTGGAGGTTTAGGGGATGGGAAACACATTGGTGTCATCAAATTTAAAACATGTAATTAATAAATGGGTGAAAATTGTTGTGTCCCTAATGGACAGCATTATATACCCACATGATAGCTAAGGTCAGAAGAGCTTTATTTAACAGCTGGTCTTATGTCTGTGA